AACATGCTCCTCGAGCGCACAGCAGTGCAGAGCCAAATGGAGCGAGCATGTGGAGGGGGTCCTGCACTGCAGCTGCGTCTGTAGGTCCCTCACAGGTCTGCACACAAAAGGAGTCGCAGATTAAAGCTGTCAACTACTGAGACCCAAAAGCCTGAGACTGCAGGGGGCAGAGGGTAGAGGAAAAGTTCATTGCCTGGTGTAGAAGCAGGTCTGCAGAGTTTGTGCCCTGATCAGAGGGCTCAGGGTTCATCACACTGCATTTTCTTCAAAAAGCTTGACAGACCCAACGGTAAAGTGCAGCATTTTCTGGCACCTGGAGCCTTGCTGTGATGCGGCGGTTCCTTTGCCCCCATCCCAGTGGGGAGGTCACCTTGCAGAGGCTGAGGCCCTGAAAGTAGGGACACAATTGCTACTATCCCTGTAGATCTTGGTGGTGAGTGACTGGAGTTCATCCCTGGACAGCCCTCTCTCCAGCGCACCCACATCAGCCTTTCAGTCAAGTTCATTGTGTTGATTTTCCTTTTATCTAGGGTTTTTCTGCTTCCAGGGCCATTTTGGAGTGACATCCAGGCTTCCATTTTGCCCTTTGTTCTCAGCTGTTTGTTCCCCCACCTTGTAACTCCACATCCTTGTACACTAGTGATCCTCTGCCTGCTCCGGGAACCCCACTGGCTCACTGGAGCACTCTCCTCAGCATGTCTCCTGCCTCGCTGCGTCTCCGGGAGCTGGGGCTCTCCTCCACCATCAGCTTGGCCCCCGCAGTGCCTGGGCTCCACATAGTGCTGTTCATCAAGCTTACTGCTGACTCCTTGCTTGGGGACAGGGTGGGATCAGGGACGTGGTAGCATGACCTAATGATGCACTTTCAGCCAACGCTCTGACTTTCTGCATTTGTTTCTATCACACAAGTGTTCTGTGGTTTTGTTTCCTATGTTTATTTTTTAATGAAAATATAAAGAATAAAATATTTCTTGAGCCAGTGGGAATTTAGCTTCTGTTCTCTACATTCAAGCCATTTCTGTAAGTGCTGTGTGGAGGGTACGTACAAACCCCGTGTGAGACCAGGCGGCCTCTGCCCGGCAGCATCAGCGTGGTAGTGAAAAACTGCTCCATCCACTGGGATCCATGGCCCAGAAACCCTGGAGGACTTGCTAACTGGGGGTGAATGTGGTGCAAGAACAGTGTGGCAGCAGAGATGAGGAGAAGGCTGTGATAATACTCTTACAATAGAGCCCGCAGTTGCAAAAAATAACAGCTCCTTTGTCCACCATGGAAATGTGGGATGAATGCAGCCTGGTATTAATTAGTCTGTTGATGGTGTAGCTACAAAATACCTGTCCAAAACTTGTTATTTTGAAGGCAAACTGCAAGTGTTTGCCCCAGCAGCCTTTGATGACTGAGTGCTCTCCCCACCACCTCCCCCAGTAAACATCTGACATTCCAGGTTTCAGATAGTCTCTCCTGACACACCTCCCTTGGGGTGAACAACTCTGTCACTCTTCAGCCAGTGAGAAGTACATGAGGAACCAAAAAGGTAAAAGGAGGTGCTTGGGAGAGTGCAGCGTTCCTGAGGAAGCATCCATGATTTCATACGTGGATCCATCCAACCCCCTACACCTCAGCCATGGGCAGGGACGTGGGCACAGGGAGGGGATTTCCAGGCTACCAAACCTGGAGCCACCAGTAGCTCCCCTTCCCATCCTGCTCTCCCGCAAAGTCCTCGGGGTTGTGGAATCAGCTCCAGAAGTGACTTGTGCAGAAAAAAAAAAGATGTCCAGTGCTTCATTCTGCTGAAGCTCAGCAGACTGAAGTGCCAGCATCAGGAGTGGATCACAGCAGGATGTGACCCTACTCGCAGTGGCCACCAGATCCCAAAGCTGCCTTCCCAGGACAAGATGTACTGAAGGGCTTGAAGATGAATTGGCATTTCCAGTTAGATAATGAACAATATAAACCTTCAAAATGGTCTGCATCTGTGCACAGCTGGAGATGAGAAAACTCACAAGCTAGTGCTGAAGAGTCAAAATGTTCTGCTTGGAAAGATTCTGACAGACCACTAAGAATGAAGCTCTGCTCTATGAAAATGCTAAAATGCAGAATTAAGCGTAAATTTTCAACACCCAAGAAGAATTGGCTACAGATCTCTTTGGGTTGGTAGGTTTTTCTTTCTTTCTTTCTTTGGAAGATCCAGAGGACTGTAGCAAAGACAAGCCCCGTGCCAGCAACCAGCCCTGACCAACCTGCCCAGCCCAGCACAGCCTTGCTCACAGGAGTGGTGGCCCATGGGCTGGGAGGTGGCACTGCAGTGTTTGTCACTCAACGAAGTCTTATGGGCAGTGGATCTGGCCAGGAAAGCTTCATCTCAAGTTAATTTGATGAGCAGGCAGTGTCGAAGTGAGTGTTGATGCAACACTGCAAGCTTTTGACTTGCAAGTCCATTCAGAATTCACCCAGGCCAGGTAAAAGGTTTATTTTCCTCCCCCCTCCCCATCTGACCAGGATTTTGCTCCGTATGTATCCTGCTACCATCTAAATTAGTATGTGCACACTTAATACAATAGCTGAAGCCCTACAACTTTTTAGCACGCTACAGTCTGGGGGGCAAAGGCCTTTACTTCATCCCTCCTGCACTGGAGGCTGCTGCCCGCAGCGAGCGTGTGGGCAGGAGCAGCGCTTCCTTCGCCTGGTCATGGGAGGCAGGAGCGACCCATTGGGAGGCTCCGAAGTTCTGGAGGGGGCTCAGTGAGACAGAACTGTCACTGCTCAGGTGCCTTCGAGGCAGCACAGCCCATCAGGCTCCCAGGCCAGTGCACGGCCTGAGCTGGGACAGAGCCAGGGCTCCTGGTCACGTCCACCCTGGGCTTTTCTTGTCAACGTGGTGTTTGCAGTTACACAAGAAGAAAAGAAAACACAGAACTGAAGGGTAACTGCGGGTGAGAGAGGCAATCTGATTGTCTGTGACCCTGCTCAGAGATCTGGTTTGGATCAGGTTTCATAGGACCTTCTTCCATTGAGTCCAGAGTATCTCCAAGCTCGGGGATGCTGAGAGTTCCCCGAGTTGCTCTGGCTGCAGAGCAGATGAGTCCCTGTCACCAGCCGCCCCTGGGCACCGTGTGTTCCTGCAGGCACCTCCTGTGCTGCGGCAGCAGAAAATGAGCGGCAGGAGCCCCTCTCCTCTCTCTGGTGCCACAAGCACCAAACCCGGTGGAAGGAGGACACATCTCGGGCAAGGGAGGATGCAGAACTTGACAGCACAGGCTCCTCTGCCCATAAACTTGCTGCCTGCACCCGGCATTTCCCAGAGGGAACTGAACAAAGCTGCTCAGGGTGGGAATTGGAGATGGCAGAACTGAGGATGTGCAGAAATGTCCCCTTGGCTCCTTGCAGCTTCCCAGCACAGCCCGGCCCCCGTCACCGCTCCTCAGGGCAGTCAGTGCACCATGGTGAGGACAGGATCACGGCTCAGCCCTTACACTGAGCTGTTGCCGAGTGGCAGGGCTGTGCTGGTCACTGTTGAGCCACTGTGGGTGCAGAGCCCCCGCCGCAGCACACGGAGACACCCCGGATCCTGCTCAGCCACCAGCCAAACCTGTTGCCTCTTTCAGGCAAATCAAGACCTTTATGCAGTTGGTTTATGTGACACGTTTGAGCAGGGGGTGCCCCAGGGCTGCTCATGGTGGGTGTTGCTGAACTTCACACCACCGTTTGAACATCCGCTCCCCTCCTGGCTCCCTCCTGGCTCCTCCACCCCCCTCCTGGCTCCCCAGCACACACTGGGATGGCTCAGGAGCACCAATGCCCTGTACACTGCTTCTACCTTGCACAATTTGCAGGACAGTGGGGTTTGTGTCTCCCGGCCACACTCACAGCTGGTGGCAGGGAGCAGAGCCGAGGCTGACGGTGCAACGCTCAGGACTGTGATTGCCCAGGCTGGAGCCTGAGGTGAGCAGCTGGACCACTGAAGGAATCCTGCGTCTTTATTTAGTACCTTGAATATCAGTTCCCATTTCTGGCTTCTCCCGGGAGTTCTTGGGACACAGCAAGGTAGTAGGAGGATGGTGTATATTTACAACAAATGGTCAGGAAACAGCAAGAATCAGGGTTCTCCTGGGATCTGTTTTAGCCCCTAAAGCAGCAGTGGATACCATCAACAGGCTCATTTCAATCTTCCCAGCAGGGCTTACAGTGGGCTGCTGGCAGCAGGTCCCAAGATCAGCACAAACCCACAGCGCCTCAGAGCTGCTTAGTGACGGGCAACCCCCAGCAGAGTCACCTGGGCCCCAGGACCTCACCTCCAGTGCCACTGCCTGGAAGCACCGGCACAGCCTCTCCAGGGTCAGGATGAACTCTGGCTTCCCTTCCTGGAAAACATTTTGTCCTGAATGTCAGCACCTCGGCCCTTTCAGTGCACTCCTCTCCTTCCCTGGTTCTGAGGGGGTTCTCTGTACCGAGCTGCACAAGTGCATCGCCCAGCTCTCAGAAACGCCGATGCCATCACTGCACGCACAATACCCACAGCAGCTTCGCCGGGAGACAGCTTCCCTCCACCCAGAGTCACCGGGGCTCTGCTTCCCCTCACCTGTAACAGGAGTCAGGCGTCTCCAGGTTCCCCTGCCCCGAAGGGACTGTCCTCGATGGGCCCAGCCGGCCGGCAAACAGACTATAAGGCCGGCAAAGAGACTATGGCTGCCAACCCTTCACGACCCTCCCGTGCCCCATCAGCCCGGTTTCACACCGGGATCCCCGCACTCGCAGCTGCTCGCCCCGCCCGCGGCGCGGGGATCAGAGCCTTGTCAGGCCCCGCTCGCCTCAGGGGCCTCCACCGCGCCTCCCCCCTTGTCCCCTCAGGCACCAGAGGCCCGGCAGGAACTCAGAGGCCATCTGATCCCCGCTGTTTCACCGCCCGGGACCCTCTGAGGGGACGTCCCGCCCCTTGGCGCCGCCTGACCTCACCGCGCTGGCACCTCCCCTCGGGCGGCGGCGGCACCCAGCGCGCCTGCGCAGCCATGGCGGCGGCCTGCGCCGAGATGGAGCCGGCGGCGGCGCCTCCTCCTCCCTCTCCCCCTCCGACCGCCGCCGCCGCGCCGGGCTCGGCCGAGCTGGTGTGCGCGCAGGGCCGGAACCTGAAGGCGGTGCTGTGCCAGCGCTGCAGGTCGCGGGTGCTGCTGCCCGGCCCCGCC